TCTCATCAATGTTTAATTTAATTATGAAATTTCATGTTTATACAATAAAAGTATGGCTTAAATTCTTACGAAACAAAATGTGACAAATATATATATATATATATATATATATATATATATATATATATATATATATATATATATATATATATATATAATCTAATTAATTTTGTCGTGATTATGCAATAAAATTGTCTTAGGTTTGAAGTACTTATACCTTACTAATCATTAAGCTTCAAGTACTTTCACATACCCGACAATACAAATTATTATGATAGGACGATTTAAGACAATGAAAATGGGCTTTCATATTGCTCCAACAAATTAAATAAGTTCCAAGTGAATGTATTTGATTAAAAATGTGTGTGTGGTGATGGTTTTGAAAACGATGTGACAAAAGACGCGCAAACGCAATTCGTCCCCAGTATTAATGTGGATGCACAACGCGGAAAAAGCCGGTGAGAACAACTGATCGAGGGAAAACAACTGGCAGTTTTTCACTCTTAAAACCATGCAATAATTGATATATGTATATGTATGTAGCCAAAGCGAACGTAATTTCTTCACAGTGTGTCTAAAAACGAACGTAATTTCTTCAGTGTGTCTCAAAACGAACGTAATTTCTGCACAGTGTGTCTCAAAACGAACGTAATTTCTTCACAGTGTGTCTAAAAAACGAACGTAATTTCTTCACAGTGTGTCTAAAAACGAACGTAATTTATTCACAGTGTGTCTCAAAACGAACGTAATTTCTTCACAGTGTGTCTAAAAACGAACCTAATTTCTTCACAGTGTGTCTCAAAACGAACGTAATTTCTTCACAGTGTGTCTAAAAACGAACGTAATTTCTTCACAGTGTGTCTAAAAACGAACGTAATTTCTGCACAGTTTGTCTAAAAACGAACGTAATTTCTTCAAAGTGTCTAAAAACGAACGTAATTTATTCACAGTGTGTCTCAAAACGAACGTAATTTCTTCACAGTATGTCTAAAAACGAACGTAATTTCTTCACAGTGTGTCTCAAAACGAACGTAATTTCTTCACAGTGTGTTTACAAACGAACGTAGTCAGGCCAGTGTTCTGGACGATCCTTGCCGTCAACCTATGTATCATGAGGGTATTTGATTTAGGGGGGGGGCAAGCGACGGCTTGAGGCATCGGGCACAAAAAAAGAGGGAAAACGCGGCAAAAAAGAAAAAAAAAAAGAAAAACAAAACAATGTATTGAAACAAATGGAGATTGATAGGGCTGTCAAACACATTCCTCCCCTGGAGCGCCATATGGTCTTAGGCCGGTCCTGCCACCATGTTTACATAATTGATATAGACAATAAAGTTACCTCTATTTACCTAGCACAAGTGAATATGCCTAAGTGTACCATACCTACACTCATCTCACGTTCCATACCGGAACAGGTGACCCAATTACTGCTCCATTAGCTATTTACGCTTCGCTACCCGATATTCAGTACCGGTTTATGACTAATCTCCTCTAAGTAGCAGTAGTGTGAGACCAAGTATGTATTTTTACGAGAGAAACTAAAATAATAGGTTTGTATTATCTGGCAATCGTGGAGCTTGCACACCGCGAAGTGGAAGTACTGCTTGGGTAAAGAGATGTTTTGTTTATTAGCTCAATTTCGAATTGATACGTAATAAGGCTTTTCTAAATATAGACACAAAGAAAATGAACTTGGACACTCACATACCCACAGTTGGTACTGTTAATATAGCAGGCACGCACCACCACCCACCACCCCGCCAAAAAATAAAACTGATTACGCATTGATAAGCACGGAAGTAACGAGAAATATCATTAAAAAGGATAATTGAATCACTCTGAAAACAAACACTATGCAAATAAGTAAATGGATTGCTGATGTTGAAATAGTTTACTGGTATTACACACTGCAAACAGTACCCGATTTAGGCATAAGCTAAACAAGCTACAGCTTAGGGCCCCAAAGTCTGAACTTAGTCTGAAGAAGCCCCTCAAATTTATTAATTTTTTTTTTACTAAAAATGGCCTCTATAGCTTCCCAAAGCTTAGGGCCTCGCTTTGTCTAAATCCGGCACTGGCTGCAAATAAACATATCGCAAATGGAGTTTTCTAAATTTGGCGGAACAAGATTAAGGAATTAGAGTTAGCAAGTAGTAAAGAATGTGAGAGTTCTGCCACACCAAGTGATGTGATGTGATTATTATTTTTAACGTAGCTTTAAAAAAATTTCAGTCATATCGCTACGATGTATGCAGTATGACAGTTTATAGTGGTATCTAGCACTGGGGCATCATGACGCAGACATGTAGCATGATGTCCCACCCAGTTACATTATCCTGACACCAGACCGACCAGTCCTAACACTAGCCTCTTAATGCTGAGCGTCAAGCGAAGCAGCTGTTAGTACTATTTTTAAGTCTTTGGTATGACTCGACCGGGGATCGAACCCACGACATAACGCATCCGAGGCGGACTCTTTAACCACTAGGCCACCGGAGTGGTTCCTGCCACACCAAGTCTTTTCTTAAATAAAAAAAATAAATAAATAAAAAAATATCACACGTACCAGGAACTCATTTTTGTTGAGTTTGCTTAACTGCTGTAAGTCAGAAACTTACAGTCGTTGCTACATACAATCTGCATTACCTAACTGACCGAGCTAAATGGTCAAGGCATACTAAATCTTTTCGAAATTTGTTTTATGGAAAATAAAATGATCAACAATACAAATTTTTCATGAATATTAGACGATAAGCTCACGACTTTGATCGGCTTTCGTGCGTTCTAGATTAATTGGATCTTTTAAGATTAGTTACTCTTTGAAATTATTTGTTTGCCTTTACAGCAGTCTTTGTTAAATGATTTAATACTTTCCAACTTTTCTGCTCAGAATATAATTAGATTTTTTACTTCATCCATTGAGTTCAGTAAAACCTCACCCAAAGCAAAATACAATGTTAAATAAAATTAAACTTTATACAATGTTAAATAAAATTAAACTTGCAGTCCAGCAATGAATAAGTTTAAATAGCGTATCAGGTGTATTTTTGATGTGTTCAACAGATTGAATTGTATCCTTCTTATTTTGAAAATTGTAGTAAATCAGAATTTGGTAGACATTTTACCATTTAACACGTTTAATATAGTCCTTTTAAGAGAGATTATACCTCATTACCTTCAATCCCATTATTATTCTCCTTTATAAAATATTTCGATTTTCAAAAGGAGAGGTGGGTAACCCCTGGTTGGTGTTTTAATGTTGAATGGACCGCTACCTACTACTAACTCACCAACTAGTTCATTTCATTTTTGTTAAGTGCGTTTCGCTTTGACTGGTGATGTATCCCTTCTTATCAACGCGAATTTGTTTTCTGTTTTTTTTAATCAGTTGAATTGGTCATCTAAAGTGTGGGTTGTATAGAAAACTCCCTGATTTATGATAAATTCTCCCATGTATCCAGGCATTTTTATATGCAATACGTGTTGTTCAATGACACATTTTGTAATTTTTTGTAATGCCATTCATGTTTTTGAAGGAAATTGAGACATCCTAATACAAGTCCTTGACAACAGAAATATTTTTATCTTGTCATATTTCTTATTTAATTTTTTCAAATTTCATTATTAAAATGCATCTCTTTAAGTTGCACAAGGTAATGTGTCAGCATTTATTCAAGTCCATATGCTCTCACGTATCCAATCAGCATATTTATGCGCCATGAATTAATTACCAACCGAAATGCAGATGTGTCTGCTGTGCACGATTGTGTATACCACCAACTTTTTGTTTCATCATTGTTTTTGGTGAGCATGGTCAAGAAGAAGGTGCGTTCAGGCAAGGCGATGGGTGCCTTTGTCCGCCTTTATAAATAATATTTTCATTAAAAGGAAACGAGGCTCGCTCGCGCATAAATATACATACTTGGATGCAGATATGTATGGACTATGACAGTATTTACCAAACTTTTTGAAGCTGTGACCCCCCCCCCCAGCATGTCGTGATCAGATGGCAGACCCCTATGATAATGAAACTGTAATGAACTGTACAAATGTGCTATATTTATTCTTTTTTGGGACTTTCTTGCGGACCCCTTGGCAACATGCGACGGACCCCAAGTTGTCCGCGGACCACAGTTTGAAAACCCCTGGACTATGATACAAAATAAACATCCAGACTCTTAATGTGCGACTGTAAAATACAAGAGAACATGCTTTGTTAAATCACGCGAGTGCGCTCAAATGCGTGCTCTTTCTGGAAAAGACGCAATATATAATCAGCATTAGAAATGCTTTTTAGTAGATTAATAATAAATATAAATGAAATATGATAGATAGTAATGCATGTACTAAATAATTAAATTGATATGAGATCGAAATAACAGTAAACTTAAGAACAAAATAATACTAAAAATAATTAATAGCAACTATTTAAATGGTGCAATTTTAACAGCCTTTTTATTCTTACTACATTTAAGTAGTACTCTATGGATATATTATTGTTGTTCGCTGTTGTTCGTGTCACTTAAAGTCAACATTCTACATTAATGCATGGGATTTTAAGTTTAGTCTTAGTTCGAAAGCGGCACAAAATTCATTATTTCATTATATCATTCCTCTAACATTTTACTGGACATTATGTCTTGGGCAAAAAAATATGTAGCACTGAGACAGACCCAGAGTATACGGTTGGTAGAAAGTGTCATAAGTTGTATTTATGTATATCTACATCGTTTCAGTGATTTAACAATTAAATGGGCTATTTGTGTTTATGTATACTGTCATCAATTTTCAGTGATTGACCAATTAAATGAGCTATTTGTGTCGATTTACACAGACACCATGTCAATAATGTAAATATTAAATGGCGCGGTTGTGTTCAGATACACCGACATCATCTCAGTAATAACTTTTTAATGTTGTAGTTGTGCGAACATACATATTCATTTCAGTCATTGCTGCGAATAGGATTTGTGGACCCTAGGAAGACTTCTCCAGTTGGTAGGCCCATACCATTGTGCCTCCATACCTTCCCTTCCCCTATTGTCTTAGCTATCTTACCCTGTCCGCGCCCCTGATTTAAGTTATGCAGCTACGAAATGCTGTAAAATCTGACGTTGTAGAGTAAACTAAATGTTTTGTAGTTACACTGTTCTGTTCTGTAGAGATTCTGCCGCTCTACTTTGAACAACTTGATTTCGTATAGACTTAGCCGCTCTGCCATGTAGAGGTTCCTTGGTTGTGTTGCACACTATGATTGTATGAATTTGACAGACTTTGTAACGATTCAAAGACCCATTGTCGTTATTTAGTATATATTTCACCATCCTGCCAAACTAACTAATTTTGGATATATATGACCTTTTGCACGTAACGGCGGCATTGGGGCTTTACGACGTGTTAAGCACGAAAATCCGACGCTAGGTAGCAATATAAAAGTTGATATGTGATGTGATCCCAAAAGAGCATTGTCCTCTTTGCCTTCATTCTAAATTATTACACTTACCCATGAGCATTCTTTAATGTGAATTAGTGACAACAAGATCTCCAAGACAGTTGTAACAGTCATATTGGATGTACAATTTTCATTTCGGACTTTGTGAAAACCCCATTCTATTATAATCATCCATTCAAGTGGGGCTGACAACAAGACTTTTGTATTTGATAACCCTAGTTTCAGAACATGACTTTCCATTCAGAAAAGGATAGCAATAACAAAATTTTCAAGATGATACTGTAGTGAACATGTTTACTTTCAGAGCTACACCATTTTCAGTTAAGACCAAATGGACACCACAAGAAGCCTTCTGGTTAATCCCCATGTTACTATGGCTTTCCGTTCATGCAGATTTGTGATTAGATTAAGATGTCCGATCGGTACCATTATGTCCAACAAGAGATTATAAGAAGTGGTGTAGTGGAAATCTCATGATAATCCAAGCAGTGGAGTAAGGATGATGATATTTAATATTTAATAGACTATTTATATTGCAGCCATATTGGATGTCCAATTGGCACCATATTCAGTCAGGACCACCTAGACATCATATAAAGTCCTTTAGCAAACAATTTCTTGAAATCACATCCTTTCAGGAGGAACTGTGATAACAAGATGTTAAATATAGCTGAAATGGCGCTTATATTTGGACATCAGATTTACACTGTTTTCATTTAGGTCCAACTATCTGGCGTGTTTCAGTGCATATGCCATCCATTGAAAATGAGTCGCGATAAGGAAAAATAAAAATTTAAATTAAAACTCTAAACAACAGTTAAATTCCCCTTCCATCATACCGGGTTAATATTATACCAGCTTACAAATCAGATAATACGAAATACATAAGCCCTAATCTAAGGCTGCATCTGATTGACCGATAATAGCCGCGCTTAATCACAAAAGAAAACATACAATCTTGAGCTAAAAGAAGGATTGAAAACTAAAATCTATGCCAACCAATCAACATTTAGCACTCGAATGACGTACACAAGAAACGCAACTTTAGTACAAACGTTCCCACCTAACTACTAATAAATGTACACTATTTTCCAAATTAACGAGGAATAATTAAAATCTGAAGCATCCAATATTATAAAATATAAAACTAAAAGGAATAATTTAGATCCCTTGTAATAAGAACCCTAGCAATTATTACTCCTTACCTTTAGTCAATGTAGCCTTAGTTATAAGCATAATTAAATCATAACAATAATCATAACTATTTATAACATACATATACTGTATTTGTATTTTAATTATCCTTATAATAACTATATATACTCTAATTAGTATTGATAACCATCTATAATACTACAACTAAGCACATAATAAGAATGAAATACCATAAAACATAATTTTAATATAAAACCTAAATAGAAAACAAAATTGAACTAGAATAGGATTGAAAATTCGGCTTTTATCATTCAATCAAAACCGACGAGACAACAACCTTATAATTTTGAATCATCCAATATTACTAAATCAAAGATGCAAGAATAAAGAAGAAGCAAAAGAGATGCCTACAACAAACCATCAACAAGAACAAATCATCAGTATCAAATAAAGAGATTCAATAAGCATGTAACGGAACCCTAATAACCTATCCCCGCATACAAACATATACATAACTGCAAGCACCATACCTAGTCCATACCATAAAACAGGCTCTAGGACTCATACTAGCACAAGCCTGGGTGGATCCTGACTCCTATAAGCACTATATATATATATATATATATATATATATATATATATATATATATATATATATATATATATATATATATATATAGGATAAGATTTCCCACCATTACAAGGACAAAAAGGTCAAGGCCGATAAGGGAAAATCAGGAACCTCCCACCTGATAACCCTAACTTCCAGAAGCGGAGTAGACCAATTAGCCCGACGCACACAAAGACCGAAAAATAACCTGGTAAAGGCTACAATCACAAAAGTGAACGAAAGGGACAAATACTTAGCGATGGATAGTCCGGGCCGCGCGGCC